AAGCATGTTTTCCATAAAAAATCTATCCACATATTCTTGACTTGAAGGTCTTAAGCCATTGTAGAGTAAGACCTTTAATTCAGATACCTAGCCCTGTACAACATGACATCCATTGCTTCCATCAGTGAAACTACAGGAATCATTAACCTGGTGGGCTTTTTTCCTCTGCTTTCCATCATGAAGTTAAAACAAACAAACAAAAAAATTTATGTCAGGAAAACTCAATATTTCTATTGAGCATGCTTCTAATAACTAACTCGTATTGAAAAATAAAAACAGGCAAAAAAAACCCTCATAGACATTTTGCTTCTGACTCAGCTCCTCCTCCCTTTGTACAGCGAGAGTGGCACAGGGGGCTGGTGTGTGGGGAGTCCTTGGCTTTCAGTCTTCTCATTTTTCAGTTCCTTCTCAGGTCCCCTTGGAGCTGTGCATCCTTCTGTGCCTTCTTCCTGCTCCTGAAAACGAAACTGAAAAACAAAAGGTTGGTGCATCTGTTTCATGGCACAATTCAAAAGTGAAAAATGGAGATATTTCAGGTTTCTATCAGTGCTGAAGATGTCACAATCAGAATGAGAATGTCTCCAGTGAATTATGATGGAAATTAATGAAACTTCACCAATTCTGCAGACACTTTCTTCCTAGCAAAGGAAATGAGAACTGGACATCCAAATATCTCAATCTGAACCACTAAACTTCTGACAACTGCTCAGAAGAGCAGAGGTGACAGGAAGGAACGTGTGCTCACCTCTTAAAACTATGGGGCTAGGCTTCCATCAGGCTTAAAATGGCTTGAGTGGTTGAAGTCTGTTCCCCAGCTCCATTGACACTAAGCAAATACTTTCTACTTGTTTATCAGTGTTGCTCTTACTCTGCCTACCCTGCAAAGGCAGCACAAAGGAACGTCAGGAACATTTGCAAACAAATGCTGCAGACATTATATGTAGGTTTGTAAATGCCAGCAGTGATTCAGCCCTAACTGACAACAGATTGCAGCAGCAGCCAGGTCTTAATAATTAACTCAGAAGGCCAATCTGACCCCAAGTCATTCCTCTAAGGGAGGCAGAGAGGGGACACCTCACACAGCATGCAGGCCAACCTGATGGCAGGGACTGGTGGGTGCCACCATCTCCCACCAGCAGCCAGCAGAGCAGACCTAAGGGTGCACTGTGGGTTTCTGGGTTACAAAAACCTGGCACCCGCAGTGCTGTGCAAAGCCTTGAGATGTCTCCTCCACCAAAACATCTCTCATACACTTCTTTCTCAGCGAGATCCTACTCCAAAAATCTGAACCAGGAAAACCTCAGGGGAGGGGTGTGGGAGCTAGGTGAAAAAGGAGGCCCTATGGAATACAGCAAGCAGAGCATGTCTCCAAGGGTCTCTCCACATCCACACTCCTCCGTGCAGAAAGAGGGGTTTCCTTCTGTCCTCCCACACTTTTTAAAATTTTATTTTCCTTTTTTTTTTACCTTGCATAAGCAGTCAACTTTCAAAGAACTGGCATGGAAGTAAAAGAGGAAATGACACAGCTGGCTTTACCATTGACAGTAGGGACTGCAGTTCCTCCAGCATCTCCAAAGTAAGCAGATAGCAGAAACCTAGCTTTGGTAGGAAACTCTTACATGCAGCTAACCTAATATTTAGATTTTTTCCCCCTTTTTCCAAGCTCCCTATCCATAAGATTTGCTCACACGTGGAGATCAGAAATGAGCTACTGAGGACAGAGAAATACACAGGTTTATCTGTGACAATGAATGGCCCTACAGCCATGGTAGAGCTGCATCTAGCATGGAGTTGAGTGCTGGAGCTGAGAGTGAGCTTACCAGGGAGGTGTAAGCAAGAAAAAAGGAATGTGCCCATGATAAGAGACCCAAGGAGTGAGCTCCTGGACTGGTCATTAATTAAACCTGGAAGCTAGATATTTTTAATACAAATGATATTTAATAAAGGGAGTGTATGTTCCAGGAGAGGACTGTATCTCCCAGAGCCTGACATCATTCCTCTGTTTTCACATATCTGGAAGGAATTTCTCCCTAAATACACAACCATCATTCTTTTTCTTTCTTTTTTTTTTTCTTTTTCTTTTTTCTTTTTTTTTTTTTTATTTGGCCCAGCACATTTATCACCAGGTAATCCTGCTGACAGAGCATCACCTGGAATGAATTTACCTGTGCTTGGGAAGAGTGCATTGTGCCTGGGTCCTGCATACATTATTTAAATGGCAGCACTAAGGAAACAGCCTGACTGCCAGAGGTGTTGCACACCTGCGGGTTCTACTTGAAATCGGTGGAAAGCAGAGGCTGAGAAACATCTCTTTTGCATTCTGAGAACTGAAAAATTTATCGGGAGGTTATTGAAGGTTTCTAATGGTGCAATCAAATTATTATAAGCAAAAAGCTACAAAATCAAATTCAGAACAATGAAAGCATCAGTTCATTAATGGAACGGTTCCAGCCATCTGGCATTCATATGTTCTGTGCTGAGGCTGTTATTGTGCAGACATAAATGACCCAATCTTACCTTCAAGCAAAAACTTTCATTAACTGAATATGTCCAAATTCTTCACAGTTCAGCTAATATTGCAAGTTCTTTCTTTATCCATTTTGTCCAGTTAATGCTCCAGCCCTAAGCGTCTCCTCTGGGGAGTGTGTTTTCCCCATCTCACTGTGGGCATAGCACCATTTGGAAAACTGTTAGTGATTCTTGGTTGCCAAAGCTCTGGAAGAAAGAGAAGGGAGTAAATGATATTCCAACAAAATAACAACACCTACAACAAACACAGAATCAGGGCAGAAGTGCAGTGACATGAAGATACCACGCACTGGGATAGCTCTGCTTTCTGCAAGACTTCAATCTTCCTGAAGTTGCTCAGAAGAGCAGGACACACCCAACTGTGAGATAATGTTGTCATTTGCTCAGACTCCTCTGCACCCTCTTTAAACACTTGTGAGCACTGGGGTTCTGGAATTAAGTACACAATAAATGAATATGAAACTCCAGGGAGCATATTTTTCTGCACACATTGCTGTAGCTGCTCTTCATAACATGCAATGCACAATGGACTGCAGTATTTTAGAAAATCAGAATATTTTTCATAGCTGTTTACTTGTAAGGCCATTTCATCCCATCAATTGAAAGTGTACATTGAAAATACAGATTCATATAGATTGCACTGATTTGGAAATGACCGTTAAAGGCCATCTAGACAAGGAAAGCTTTTTCTTTATCCCCAGTCTGTTTTTCACGTTCTCCTGTCATTCCTATCTCAGAGACACCAATGCTCACCTTTTTTTTGTCACTAAGATACCAGTAATTGTGTTCACAGTTACCATTTCCTTCAAAGCCTTCATTGCGCTGAGATGCAGCGTATTTCCAATCTGAAATGAGATTATCCACCCTGAGAAGAACTCCACACTGTGCTGCACAGGGAGGTGCCAGAGACACATCTTAACTGTAAATTCCCCAATTTTTTATTTTTTAATTAAAAACACCAGAGGTGCTTTCCAGGCCAGGGCTGAACTGGAATGAGATGTGTAACTTTTCAGGGCTTTGTATGACTAATCCTGCAGACACTCGAACTGTATGAATGCTGAGAATTAAATGTAAACAGATCAATGCGTGTACGCATTCAGCATATTTATGATTTGAACCAATTCACAAAATCAGGCACATGGAGCTTGTGTGGTTTGTTCTGGAAACAGACGCCTTTTCCAGACTGAGGGATGTGGAAACTGCTTCCCTATCTAATGCAATTCAGTACATCTGCATGTGATTAGAGGAACGCGCTACAGACTGCGGCACGGCACGGCCAAGCCCTGTGGAAGTTACATTCATTGAACTCCATGGAGCCACATGAGCCTCAGTATCTGCCTGTTTCTACGACTTTCAGAAGATTGCCTACATTTTCTAGTCAGAAAATGAGAATTAGTTGATTACTTTAATTACCCGGGCTCTATATAGATAACAAGTCACTGTTTCAGGGTTCGGCAAGGCTGCATGAAGTTACTAACAGAAGTCAAAGCAAATAGAAAGATCATAGAATTATAAAAACATTAATGGTGGAAAAGATCTCCAATGTCAGTCCATCCCCACCATGACCACTAACCACGTCCCTCTGTGCCACATCTGCACATTTTGTGAACACCTCCAACTTTCATCACTTCTGTGTACTAAAAAATACTCTTTTTTTTAACATATGCCATCATTTTGCCTACAATTCCATCTCACTTGTGAGGCAGCCTTTTCCCACCAGCACAGCCAGGACTGCTGTTCTCCTGTATAACTAGAGAGTCGCTACCGACCAGCAAAGCTGAGTGACCATCCCACTGTTTTTATGGAGGTGTGGAGATATCCAGTACACAGAAGCAGCAGCTCTCTACATAAAGCACCTTCCTACCTGCACCATCTCACTGTGCAGCCAAGGAAAAGCTTTCCGCTTATGAAAAGCATATTGCCATAGCGGTGGAGAAATCACATTTATGTTCTGAAGACCTGTTTTGCCTACAGTAGCCATGTGAGTAACCTTCGATCTTCCCCAAAGGGAGAGGTGACACCTGAGCAATCTGAGCTGCAGTCCAGACAGGATGCAGGGTGTGAACAGCCATCAAGAGCTATTCCGGTACACAGTGTGCAGATGCTAAGCCAGGTATTACAGCTTGTGACAGAATATCCTTCCTGGGCTCACTGGCCAATGCTCAGTAGCTTGCCTTGAACACAGGAATAAATCTGCTGGTGTCTGGTTTCCAAGGAAGCACAGTGAGTGCTTTAAATGGGCTGGGTCCTTCATTAGTAACTTCAAGCGCTGCCAGAGGTGCAGCCGGCACGTTTAGCTGGTAGTAACCTCTCTAAGAAGTCTTTCACTGAGAGTGTGGAAGCAGCAAACCGTTTCAGCCACCGAGCACTGAATCTCTGCAGCATACGCTGCCTTTACACTAGACGCTTGCACATGCAGAAGTGGCCTCTAGATGCTACTGCAATCCAACTAAATCGGACCTTATTGGACAACTCACGAGGAAAAGAAAAGAAAAAAAGAAGTCACTTGAACCTGTTTTTCTATACAGAAACAACTCCTCTAAGCCTGTAAAAGTATCCATCCTGCAACCCTGTCCCTTTCCAACTGCACGGCTTCGCTGACCCCGCGGACAGGCTCAACTTGAAAGCGTTCTTCCCAGACTCTCGCTGCAGACGCCGGCGGGAGCTTCGGGCACTTCTGCAGGAGGAGCAGCCCGCTCGCTCCGGGCCCATCCGCACACCGCTCCGCGGCCCTCACTTCAGGTAGCTCCGCTTATCCTCGCCGCGCAGCTCGGGGGGCTGCAGCGGGGCGGGCGGGGGTTCGCGAGGCCGCACCTGGCTCCAACCCGGCGGGGGCGGGCGGAGCGGAGGCAGCGCGTCCCGTTCCTCCCCGTCCCTCCTCCTCGTCCTCGTCCTACTCCTCCTCCTCCTCCTCCTCCTCCTCCTCCTCCTCCCCCCTCCCTGCGGGCCGGCGGCGGCGGAGCCGCGCTCCCTCCAGCCGCGCCCGCGGAGCCCCGCGCAGCCCCCGCAGGTAAGCGCCCGCCGCCCTGCCCGCCCCGGGGTGCCGCTCCCGGCTCCGCGCCCACGGTGCCTCTTTTCCCCTCCACTCGCGGTTGCTTCTGTGTTTCGGAAAGTGGATTAAACGTCGGTGAGTGTGCGGGAAGCGAGCCGCTCCTGCGGGATGAGCGTCTTTGGAGCTGGCCCGGAGGGAATAATGGGCACTTGTTGGATTGAGGGGCACTAACACTGCTGCCGTTGTTCGGTTACTTAGGGTCCTTTCTGTTCTGTTCTGTTGTTTTTTGTTTTGTTTTTTTTTTCTTTCTCCCTCCGTTACGTCTCTGTTGATCTGGTTGTACCGAGTTAAGGCAGTGGAAGTAGTCCGAACTAAACATGGTTGCCACCTCTCCCTCCTGACTTCCTCGGTCCTTCGGACGATGGGCCCGTGGAGGTGGGATGGGAGCTGCCCTCGCGGGTCCGCGCAGAGGTGCGGGACGGGATAGGATGGATGGCAAACGCAGCGGTAGGGAGTGCCGGGGGGTGGAGGGGAGCGCCGGGACAAAGCCGCCTGCAAACTGCAGTGAGAGGGAGGTGGACCAGGGGGACCCGCTACGTTCCTCACTCTTTTTAAAGACCTGCAGTGGGAAAACCCAGAAAAACCTTCCTTTGAGAACATATGAGAAGTCTTCTGTATAGCCCTTCAGCAGGAAAGTGTTGGAATGTCTAATCTGTTTTTTTTCTTTTCTTTTCTTGTGGATTTCTCGTTGAAACAAGCTCACACCTCTCTGGTTTCTCCTGCATTTAAGTCGTCTGTGAATAAATTAGAAGCCTCTCTAATCCCCACTTCTGTTCCTTTCCTTTTTTTTTTGTTTTACTGCTGCATTTTTCCTGTTGTTTTCTGAAGATTCAAGGCAGAGCCTCCAAAGGCAGCGGGTGCTCCCCAAGTGCTGGGGCAGCGGGGCAGCTGCTGCCTTAGACTGCTGGAGACTGTTGCTCCTGTATCTTTTCAAAGAAAGGCTCTGGCATGCGAAGTCAGGTTTGGTGTGCTGTACCATTTGGTCTGAAGTGAGTCACTCTCAGGTCTGAGAGTCGTGTTTCAGTCTGGCAGCCGTGCAGCCTCGTTACTCCCGTGTTAGGATGGGCAGAGCAGTATTAAAACAATATGTGCTGGCAGTTTCAGCCATGGACTGAAGCAGTATGCTGCCTGCAGAGGTGCAGCTGAAGGTCTGTCCTGCAGCGCAGGCTGTAGGCGTGCCGTGCACTTTTCCTTACCTGATAAGTGCTCAGAAGGTAGTTTGGTGTGTCTCAATTTTATTGTTGTTTTTATTACATACAGCTACTCAAAATCAGATGCTGTCCTTTAGAAAAGACTGGCACCGTCCCATGCTGTGCTATTCCACGTGCACTGTGGTTGTTCTTCTTTGCAGCTGCAAGTAACTGAGGAATTACTATTCAGGAATTCTGGAGAGTAGTTTTGTGCTGCTCTTATCACTCCCTACTGCAGGTTGCACTGCTTGGACCCTTGGCTGCTATAAACCTTGTTCTGGGAAGTTACTGGTAACTGCTGCCTTGAGTGGGGGAAAAATACTGACTGGTGTCTGCTTTCTTTCCCTCTCTTCAAAACAAATACTGAGAATGGAATGATTAAACAGCTCTTGAGATGAAACACATGTGCAATGCAAAACTGAAGTAATGCTAGACTGTGTACCCAGCTTCAGTATGTGAACTGGATGTCTGAGCAGCAGGCAATCCTAGCACTGTGAGCAAAGACACTTCTGGCCACGTGGCTTTCATCAGTAACTCTGGGAGAATGTTTTGTAACTAGAGTATAATTCATTTTCTGTTAAGAAGAGGGATAAAATAAATGATCAGTCTTTTGCTTGGTCTTCTGGTAAGTGTCCCAAAGAAGGCGTGTGGGGAATCTGGGAAGGAGTGGTGGGGAAAGCATTCTGATCAGGAGCTGAATCTTAGGTAGGATCTTTGGTAGGGTCAGATTTTGCATCGCTGTGATGAACCATTAATAACACCTCAATGAATAGTTAATTGTTTTTCTATAGCCTCTCTGTATTGGGTTTGCTTTGTCCAGTATTCAAGGGTTTAAACTGAAAAGAAAGCATTTCTTCCCAATATCTTTTGTCACTGGGAGACCACCACCATCCAACTTTGAGAACCCAGCAACATTGGTGGTCAGCTGGCTTTGAGCACCTCTAGGTGGTGAGATGCTAGCAACTTGTGAACACCTTCAGTGTGCCATTTTCTGCGTAGATGGCTGGCGGGGAAAACAGCCAAAATGCTGAGTGTAGTTCTGTCACTGATGAGAACTTGTTGGTAACCATTGCTTGTGGGCTTGGTGATGGTCCAGGAATGGACCTACAACACACTGAGAGCAGGAACAGGTCGTACTGTGAAGTTGTTGTCCTTTCTGTCGTCATTGCCAAAAACAAATTGGAATTTGATACGTTCGTGGGAATTCCCCATCTTTTCATAAACAAACATATGTGTGAAATAAGGTACGCTTATATTCAGCTTAAATGCATGTAAATGAGTTATTTGTACCTCAACTGCTAGAAGCAATGCTAAAGAAAAGAAGTGTACCACTGTTCTACTGAAAGGAAAATAGAGTAAACAGTATTTTGTCCCTGCATCACCTTTAGTTGTTTGTAAACTAGTTCTTTGTATGCAGTGTATTATTTTACTGCTTCTTCCTGCACAATAAGATACATACATATGTTTTTATACCTTTTTTTTTTTTTTTTTGACAGTAGTAGGAATAGAAAAGGAGAGGAACAGTTGAACTTCAAAAAAGAAATAACATGATTATACACGACGAAACAAACACAACACAGGAGTTATGGAAAGAGAACTGTAATGGGTCTTTATGTTCTTCATGGTTATTTCTTCAGATTATGTGCCCATTTCTTGGGCACTTAGAATTTAATGATGATTTGAAGGGAGAAATCAGAAAGCTCTGATCATGAATGACTGATGGTGGCAATGGCTTGAAAAGGTAGTGATTATATGTGTGTGCAGCTTTGCTTTCCCATGCATCACTAGGTGATACTGTAGAAATGTAGACTGCCTTCAAGGCTGAAAAACATTTTACATTTTGTCTGAGTATCCTTCACAGTTTGCTTCATCAATGGACCATTGATGCCAGTGATCTACAATGAACACTTTTGGATCAGACCCAAGGCTGATGTGTTGTTCTGACAGAACTGTGCAATTAGTCCCAGCTAGTCCCAACTGTTTAGTGCCAGCTTGCGTAGTGTGAGTGCAACCACATCCCATGTGGCCACCATGTGACCATTGGAAGAGACCTTCAGAGGTGGTTTGTGCACACTTTTCTGCATAGAGGGACAATAGCCTTGCTTGGAGTAGTGCAAAGTCTTCAGCATTTCCTGACAGGCACAGCCTGGAGTGGTTTGTTAAACGCATTTTTTCTGGGTCCTGCCTTTACATTCGATCGGATTCAGCTTCTTGAGTCAGATAGTGTCAGCAGTTATGTTAGTGCACATAAAGGGGAGAGTGCTGGTGCTTTTAGCCCTGGGCAAGGAATTTCCTCTTAGAAACAAAATGAACGCTCCCAGCACACGCCAGCAGCCATGGCTGCCACTGTGGGCAAGGTGTGTGTGCCTGTGCCAGCGGCTTAGTGGTAGCCAACCACTGTTGCTTTGATGCTGGCACTCGTGAGGATCGTGGCCAACAGACCTGGGTGGTGACAGGCCGTGGAATCGGCTGCTGAGAGTCAGTGGGTCAGCAGGAGAAGTGCCTCCAGATGTGCGTGTGGAAGGCTGCATCTCCCTGGGGACAAGGTGGGGTTTGGGCCATGGGTACCGTATTGGAGACAACTGCACTGTAGTTCTGTGTCAGCTCTTCTTTTTTTTCTTTTTTTTTTAACGTTACTTTAACTTGAGAGGCATTTGAACTTTTTTTTTTTTTTTTTTTTTCTTTTTTGGCTTCCAAGTGGCATGAGCTGGATAAAATATGGTGCTTTCACCTTCTATTTAAAAATACAAAGGTGCCGAGTGTGCAAGACTAATACTATCTTTCTGTTTTTGCTTCTGATTGTGGGTAGCAGGCAAACCTCTGCTGAAGTCAGGTTTTTGAGCAGTGCTGATGAATTTGATTGTCGTGCATGAACTTCATCTCCCAGAAATACACCGATATGAGTGAGACCCACGCACATTTTGCCTTTTCCTTAAGAATTTATGTGCTGTAGTGACCCCCTGAGTAGGGTGAATTTCACATGCACCCTCCAGACAGTACACCATTTCTTTGCCAGATAGAAAATGTATTGCACACTGTAGTGCTTGCAGGAGCAAGCAAAAAAGCATTGGATTGACATCAAAGGCAAGATCTCTCTGTACAAAAAGCTGGAAATTTTTAGAGTGGTAAAAGCCTGGCAAAGGAAATGCATACTGTTTTTCATTGTAAGCCCCTCTCCCTCCCTCCCTGCCTCCTCCCCCTCTTTTTAGGGAGTGTGTGTCAATACAAAATGGTGCCAGCACATTATTTATGGGAGCAGTTTCCAGAGACTTTTCTTAGAAGTTATTTGGCCGTTTGGAGATGATTGTTCTCAGCCTGGATGGAAAAATGTATGTATAACTAGGACAGTATCCTTTTTCTTGTCTTGAAGAAGCTAGCTGCAGCTCTGTTTAAAAAGTAAAAAAACAGTTGAATGAGTACCGAATGTTCACTGCATAGAGAAATTTGTATCTTCTTTTGGTGAATGAGTGGTTATTTAAGAGTGCTGAGCTTAACATGAA